CTCATCTGGCACTTCATTCCACATATAAACCACCCTCTGTGAAAATGTAGCTAAAAAAATGAATAACAAATGATGATGTAGAGGGTAGTTGAATACAAGCTTGTAGCTTTAAAACCTGTAAAAGGAAACAGGTGTGATTATGTGATCCACAGTTAGAGGCTTGAAGGAAGAATTAACTGTTGGCTATAGAGCAGCAAGTGTTGATTAAAATAAAGTGGAAGAAGAAAAAGTACATTTCAAAAGAAATTTTTGAGAAAAGTTGCCTTCATCATTGGGATGAATCACAATGTGACAAGGACAGAGATGAATGATAAACTTATGTTGTTGAACACCAGGATGGGAATGTTCTGCTTTGGTTTTCCCAGCTGCTAAAATAAATGAGAGAAAATCCTGGCCTCAACATGCACTGTGTACACTAACTCATTCAAAGCCAAAGTTAAGAAGGATAGAACATTTGTCCATAAACATTAAGCAGGAGTACTCAGACTCTTTGAATCCCATGCTGTCTTTGCTGGATCAGTATTACCCATACCTTTATACAATTTAGAATGTCATTATGCAGATTATTTGTAATCGTTTTCATGAAATATCACCGGCTATTAAATGAAACCTGTGTACAAAATAAAAGGGATAACACTAGATGACTAGTGTACAGTTATAGTGAGCCGGAGTTTGAAGATACATCAGAAATAAGAGCAGGAGGCAACCATACAATCGGTCAAAATTGCTCCGTTGTTCAATATGATCACGGCTAATTTTGGATTTCATCTCATTTTCCTGCCTGCTCCCCATGTCCCTTGATTTGTGAAGAGACCAAAAATCTGCTAACTCAGTCTTAAATATGTTCAATGTTAGAGCATCCACATCCCTTTGCAGCTGAAAATTACAAGGAGTCACTGCAGTGATTGTAGTGAGGTCAGCCTGGTGGACCCCATAGAATATAAGAACAGGAGGGTCAGTGCTAACTCTGAGGGAGCTGGATCAGTGTCAAGGACTCTTCACGTGCAAATAAAGGGTGACTTGGTGATGGGATACCGGCCTCTGTGGAGTTATTTCGATCACAACCCTTTGAGTGAAGAAATTTCTCTTCATCTCAGTCTTAAATGATCCGTTACTTATCCTGAAATTATGCCCCCTTGTTTCACCTGGCTGGGGAATCTAAAACAATATCTCAGTGTCTACCCTGTTAACCCCCAACCATTCAGAAACATGTCTGTTTCAGTGTGATCATCTCTCCTCCTCCTCCTCCTAAAATCAAGGAGGATGGGCCCATTGTCCTCAGCCTCTCCTGGTAGAACACCCACCTTATCCCAGAGACCTGTCTAGTGACTCTTTACTGTAGTGTCTCCACTAGAAGTATATCCTTCCTCAAATATGGAGATCGGTACTGCACAGAGTACTCCAGGTCTGGTTTCACCAAAGCCCTACCCAATCCCCTTGCAATAGTCGCAATAGCTTTCCCAATTGTACGTGTACATCCTCAAAACCTTGAATACATTTGTCCCTTTTGTAAAACCATGTTGATTTGTTATAATTATGTTTTTCCAAGTGCATTATTAAGACTTCTTTAGTGGTAGATTCTAGCTCTCTGCTGATGCCTGGTGCCAGGTTAACCAGCCTGTAGTTCCCTCTCTTCTCCGTCCCTCCTTTCTTTGAATAGTGGTGTTACAACTGCTAACTTGCAATCTGCTGGGGCTATTCAAGAATCTAGGGAATTTTGGAAAATCTAAGCCAGTGCATCCACTATCTCTGCAGCTTTCTCTGTTCAAATCTTTGATCGTGGGCCATCGGCTCCTGCAGATTTGTCTGCTTTCAGTTGCCTTGAGATTATCCTGTTGTTTATGTGAGGAGAATGATAGCTGTATTCCGGGTTATTCATGTACGGAGAGTGGTGGCTGTAGCCTTGTTGAGGATCATGGCTCTAGTTAAGCAGTACTGAGGGGGAGCAAGAGTTCTGATTTGAAATGTCTAATGAAGAAAAAAGACCAGATTTTGGAAGTATTTGAATGAAGCAATATGGTGATTATTATGAGAAATGAGGACATACAATGGGATGGAATGAAGTGAACTGTGATATACAGTGCATCGATCGTGCAAAAAGCTTCCTCAGAGGCTAATCAAGGTTGGTAATTTGTTATGGAGGTTCTGTGTTGATATCTAATTAGAATAGAGGAGTTTGAGTTAAATTGTGTGACTTTGTATATTTTGATCTTGCTAATGTAAGATCCCAGGTAAATATGTTGAAGGGAGATTGAAAGAAGCAGGTGTTAGGATAAATTATAAAAACACAGAAATGATGTAAAACCCTTGCTCGATCTAAAACCATTTAAACCGACTACTACTTGGTCCACTTGCAGTGTTGACAAATTTGCAGTTCGGTAAGATATTTGGTTTAGATTTCAGTTGTTGTAAAGAAAGAGTAAGTTTGAACTATTAATATTGACAAAGGCATTAACTGTTAGATAAGGAAGGTGAGATCCAAATAAAGAGAGGACTGGGAAACTGAAACTGAATTTGTATAAAACCAATACTGAGAAATATTTAATTAGAAACAGAGAGGAAACAATATTTACAGGAAAGGAAGAATGTATGTTTATCTTAGAATATTTCTCAGAAAAATCCCATTTCAATTGCCTTGTACTTATGGAAGTGGACATCTTGAATATTTTGTGCCCAACAACAATGTGAATAAACAGCGAAACTTTTTTGGGCATTGACTGAGAGAAGAATTTAGCAAAGAGATCACGAGGACCACCTGTTCCTTGTTGAAAAACAACCATGGGAGCTTGAATATCCACATCATTCATTATACATCTATAATAGTGAACAATTCTGGAGAGATGTACTGGCATTGGAGGGAGTCCAGAGAAGGTTCACTTGGTTGATCCTAGGTATAGAGGGACTGCCTTTGAGGAGAGATTGAGTAGGTTGGGGTTTAGGTGATTTTATTGTTCTTAGGACATTTACTGGCTGGATCTGGAGCGATTGTTTCCCCTTGAGGGAGAGTCTAGGACCGGAGGGCATGATCTCAGAGTAAGGAGTCACACATTTAATACAGTGAAGAGGAGGAATTTCTCATGAGGATCTGAAATTCTCTATTGCAGGAGGCTGTAGCAACTGGATCATTAAGTATATTCAAGACCGAGATAGGGTTAGATAGCTTTTTAATTAGCAAGGGAATCAAAGGTTATGGAGAAAAGGCAGGAATGTGGAGTTGAGGATTATCAGGTCAGCCATGATCACATTGAATGGCAGAGCAGACCTGATGGGCTGAATGGCCTCCTTCTGCTTCATTGTCTTATGGTCTTATAACAAGTGTAGTGAGCCCAGGTTTGACATCTTATTTAAAGAACAGCACTTGTAACACTGCTGCCCTCCTTCAATTCTGCACCAACATGCCAGTCTAAATAATAGGCTCAGGTCTCTGGAGTGGGGTTTGAACTTATCACATTCAAACCTGGAGGGGAGAATGTGATCGATTGAGCTGTTGTGCCTGTGGGAAGAGTTAAAAGTGGCACATTTCTGACAGAGCTGTGATATTAAGAAAACGGCAGATAAAATTCAACGAATGAGTTATTGTAGCATCGTTGCAATGTTGACAGAACCAAGTGTTTTTGCTCCAATATAAAAGAGCATTGGAGATTCAACATTATCAGTTTCTGCAGCTCATGGGGACCAGGTTAGCATCAGACACTGCCTTGAAAGTCAGTGCTTTAATATGTATAACTCTGTGGATAATGTGTGACATACAGTGTAATTATACCCAGCAATGTATGTGAAAGGGAATAAAAAAACCAACGCAAAATGTTTAGAATGGACAGTAAAGGCGTATGTACAGCATTGTTGATAAAGAAGGATTGAATGTTTACTTGAAGAATAAGTTCATCCTTTGATTGAGGGAAGTTTTGAGTCATTACAGCTGTAAACCTATGCTGATAAGAGCAGCAAATTAGGAAAACTTGGTTGACATGAAGGCAGTCAGAAGGAATTGATTTTGATTTATTGGAACATACATGGAGAAAGGAGAGCAAGGAATCAGGAAGATTTTATCAGCCCTAAGTTCAAATGGAAGGATAGTGAAAACCTTTCAAAAGGAACAGATGAAACCAGGCTGCCTCAAAATCTTCTGTATCAAACAGGGCACCAGAGGAACAATCTTCCAATATTTACTATCGAGTCTGAGATGATGGAAAATTTGAAGATTACAGACAGAGAGGGAGATCCAAGGAATAAAACAGGAAAGGAAATAATTACTGTTCAGAGTTGTACAGTCCAATAGAAATTGCTGACTAGTTGCCAATGTGGACACAGTGAGACTGTTTTAGACAAAGATACCTATGTTAGGAGAAACCTTTTACATACACACAATGCAGGCAAATATACTTCGTGTGTGTATGTTTAATTAACGAACATCCACCTCCAGTCGGTAACTAAGGAAATGAAGCACTCTTCTAACAATGAAAAAGCACTTGGATGCTACTCTTTTTGTCTTGCCACTTTACCAAAGGTTAACATTTACATGTGCACTTTGTGAAAATGAATATCGTTATCATGTGCCCAAAAATGGTGTCTATTACCCATTTTCTAATTTGGTAATCAAATACAGTTTTCCACATCTGAATTCCCATTTAGCCACATGTGGTTAGTGGACAGCACTAATCTAGAGGAAGCTTATTATTGGAAGTCTGGAACTACATAGTAAATTAGTGAGAATAAAAATAGACAAGATCAGGCAAAAGCACAAATCTCTCAAAAAGGCTTCAGAAGGTCAGATAGAAGCTGCTTGAAAATGATCCAGGATCTATATGGTGCATTGAGGAAACTAAATTGAAAGGCATTTTCAGAATAAAGAAAGATTACTTGTATATGCTTTTAGTAATTGTTGGAATTATGAGTGTGTTCATGTTGGCAACATTAGAGTAGTTGTAGTACAGGACTAGCAACCTGGATTTTGGACTATGTTAGTCACTTCCTCTTAACACTCTGTTGTACTTTCCCAGGATTATTCATGAGGATGGATTTTCTGGTGACGATGTGAAGCAGTACAAGCCTGTGGTGTACAGCAACACCATTCAGTCCCTGGCAGCCATTGTCCGTGCTATGGATACCTTGGGCATTGAGTATGGTGACAAGGAGCGGAAGGTAAGGTATCAAAAATACATAAAACAATGTGTGGATGAAGCAACCTGCTGTGGCAAGAAAATCTGTATAAATGAACCAGATCAAACCAGGGCAACATTAGCATTAAACTGTAAAACTGGGGTTGTGTATGGTAGATGTTGGCACATATAAATGGGAATTATTGAAATTTACGAGGTTCTTGTTCAAGACAGCATTTGGGTATTGGAATCTACTTTTCAAAGAAACAGCCTGCAATAAAAGATTCTGTGGTGTTCGGGGAATCTCAAAAACAAAACAAATTTTGAGTGTAGATTGATTGGGCATGTCCCTGTTGAATGTTTACTGTTTCTGCTGAACCACCCCATTGTGGTTGGTTAGGTTTAGAATTTAAAATGAAATGGACATGATGCAACTTTCTACCTGCCCTAACTAACATCTTCTTACAATGACCATCAATAAAGCGAATTGACGAATCAACTGGAGAAGTGCTTACGCTGACCTAACCGTTTCGCATGTGTTACATTTCAACAAAGTTATGTTTGTTTCATGGAGAACTAAGATATTGGTGATCCATTCACTTTAACGAAAATGGGTTTACTAAGTTGCACGGTTAATGCCCAGGCTAAGTTTCTGTCTCTGCTGGACAGGAATTTAGCCCAGATTCTGTTCCTAATCATTTTGTGAACCAGTCCATCTGGTCAACATGCTGCATTTACTTACGAGAAATTGCTAATAGTTAGTTGATTGTGTGCCAACCATCAGTAATATTAATCCTGGTGTAGGGACAGTTCCAGCAAGGTTGAGAGTTTCAAAGCCTACATAGCGATGTAATTAGTTTTGAGGTAGAATTCTAATTGGGAAGTAGGGGGAGTGTTCAATCTCAGCGTATGAATCATCTTGAGATTTTAGTTTTGAATTGCCTGATGTCCACATATGAGCTATGTCTGGAAATGTTTAAAATTCTAAAATCTAACAATCCATAACAGAAGAATTCAATCTGCGCAGAAATTTTAGGTTAAAACGATATAGTGAACTGTTCAAGATGCATTGTCATTTCTTATGGCATGATTGAACCTTATCCTTCAAGGAAGTATATTTGTAGACTGGTTGGAATTATTTAGTTTTGCATACAAGTATTGGCTTTTATGTTTGAGTGCAGTTCCTGTCCAACACAATTTTACTTGAATATAAAATAAAACAAATCTGTTGGAATTCTATGAAGATGTTACTAGTCGAGTAGACAAGGGGAAGCCAGTCGATGTGGTATATTTGGACTTTCAGAAAGCATTTGACAAAGTCCCACAAGAGATTATTGTGCAAGAATAAAGCACATGGGATGGGGGAAGTGTATTTAGATGGATAGGAAACTGGTTGGCAGAGAGGAAACAAAAAGTAGGAATTAATGGGTCCTTTTCAAATTGGCAGGCAGTAACTAGAGGGGTGCCACAGGGATCGGTGCTGGGACCCCAGCTATTTACAATATATATTCGTGATTTGGATGAAGGAGCAAAATGTAACATCTCAAAGTTTTCAGATGATACTAAGTTATATAGGAGGGTAAATTGTGACGAGGATGCAGAGATCCTTGAGCATGATCTGGACAGGTTGGGTGAGTGGGCAGATCAAAGGCAGATGGCAGTGCAATTTGGATAAATATGAGATTATTCACTTTGGAACCAAAAACAAGAAGGCAGATTGCTACCAGAATGGCTGTAAATTGGGAGAGGGGAGTGTGCAGTGGGACCTGGGTGTCCTTGTGCACCAGTCGCTGAAGGTAAGCATGCAGGTGCAGCAGGTGGTAAAGAAGGCAAATGGTATGTTGGCCTTCGTTACGAGAGGTTTTGAGTACAGGAGCAGGGGTATGTTGTTGCAGTTACACAGGCCCTTGGTGAGGTCACATCTAGAATATTGTGTGCAGTTTTGGTCTCCTTTTCTGAGGAAGGATGCTCTTGCTCTCGAGGGAGTACAGTGAAGGTTTACCAGGCTGATTCCAGGGATGGCAGGGCTGATGTATGAGGAGAGATTGACGAGGTTGGGATTGTTTTCATTGGAGTTCACATGAATAAGGAGGGATCTCATACAGACTTATAAAATTCTAACAGGACGAGACAGGGTAGATGCGGGGAGGATGTTCCTGATGGTGGATGAGTCCAGAATCAAGGGTCACCGTCTGAGGATTCGGGGTCGACTTATTTAGGACGGAGATGAGGAGACATTTCTTCACCAGAAGGGTGGTGAGCCTGTGGAATTCATTACCACAGGAAGGAGTTGATACCAAAACATTGAATGTATTCAAGAGGCAGCTAGATATAGCACTTGGCGCGAATGGGATCAAAGGTTATGGTGAGAAAGCAGGATTAGGCTATTGAATTGGACGATCGGCCATGATCATGATAAATGGCGGAGCAGGCTCAAAGGGCCAAATGACCGCCTCCTGTTTCTAAAGAAGTATGGATGCTGGAAATCTGAAACAAAAGCAGAAATTGCTGGAGAAACTCAGCAGGTCTGGCAGCATCTGTGGAGAGAAAGCAGAGTTAATGTTTCAGGTCCAGTGACCCTTCT